GCTTAAGCATGATCATAAGCTAAAAGGTGTTTTAATACCACAAATGACTAGTTAAGTATTTCTATAAAAATGACAAAGAATTGTTATCTTGTGTGCTCAGCAGATTGGACACCTTATCTATCTCAGGTGAAACCCACAAGAATTTCATCATCTAGATACCAATACCAAAGTATTTCTCACACACCGCTGGTAGCCATGTCAAGTTGACCGCCCCAACCTGACCTTTATTGGAAATTCAAAGCTAATACAAGTAGCATACACTAAGACCAGAAATAACGAATAAAGTTCCAGGCTAGTACATTATACTGCTATTGTATAAGCATTTAAAATCTTTGGGTGGGTGGGCGGAAAAGTCAGCAATGGCGGACGCAACAAAAACAATTGCCCGCCCCATGGGTCACATGACCTAAACCCAGGCCCCAGCCGCGTGTGAGAAAAACATTTTTCACTTATTTCGTTCCACTCAGCCAGTGCAAAAATCACTCTTAGCAGTCTTGCCTTTACTGCTGTAACAAGAATAAGGAGTTATTCCCATGAATCTATGCAAGGAGAAACCATGATTGAGTCTTCCATCTAAGGTACTTAAACCTAGGTTATTTGATCAGGCATCCAGCGTACTGATCACAGCAGCTCTTTTAATGTACATGTAGAAGTCTGCAAGGTGGCGGTCCAGCCAAGAAATCAATGGCATATTTAGTAGATTTTCAAAGTTAACACACTTCTCAAATGTGCTTATAACTGACCTTCTAAACCTGCTTCCGGGGACGATGACGACTAAATTTTTTCTTTTGAATTAAACCCCCCCCCCTCCACTACAATTAAATTGTAAAGCATGTCCCAAATTTAAATCTTAAAAACTCGTTCTGAAATTAAAGTTTAATTCCAGTTCGACTCATCACAAACACATAAGTCGGTAGTTAAAAAGACTTACAATAAATAAAGCCAAGAGACCTCAGAAACACGATCCTCGTCAGCCAGTAAGTTCCAGGTTCCAAATCAATTCGCCTTGCCTCCTCTGAAACTTCTTTAATGTCCTTTTGATCGCAAGATTTTACTTCCTCGACTTTCTTTAAGCTTATTCCTTCATTAACAGTCCCTTTTCTTCGCCTCAGGCCCTCAAGTAACTCCATAACAAACCACACCTTCCTAAAAGCATTAAGATGAATTTTTCTCAAGTACGACTTTAGGACCCTCGACGTGCAGTTCACGCCGCCATCTTGGATTCGTAATGACGACAAATGGCGCGAAGCGATTGGACCGAGTCAAAATAAACAAGTTTCATTTGGCGAAAGGAGAGAGATTAATATGGTTTTTCAAAAGAACTTGAAGTTGTATAATGACGCGAGGTCTTGTCACAGAAGATTTGTACTCACATGAAAAACAGAAAACCTGCTACATCCCACATATTCACGAGTACCCTATTCCAACCCACAACTTAGTGGTAACAATTATAACAATAATAACGGTACTGATAATTCATCATGATAATGCGCTAGCTCAAGAACCTCACGCGCGCGTCTGTAGAATCAATTTTTTAACAAAGAGTGGACGAACACTTAGAACATAGAGGAAAATTGCAAAAAATCAAGCCAATCTCAACAACAAATTATACTGCCAATTTAGTTAGAAATTATGGATCGGGCACTTTTAAGACAACCCTTAATATTTTTTCATTCAAGGATGTAAGTTTCTAAAGAAACTGTGGTGCTGCGTCGGTGGGGGTAACAAGGTAATAATATTGGTTTAATCGACTGAGTTGATCATGTAAATTAGCCACTGTAAAGGATTAAAAGCTGACGTTTCGAGCGTTACCCTTCGTCAGAACGAATGGAGGAATTCTGGGTTGTGTGTGGGTTTACATGCAGAAAGTGGAGCTACGCTATTGGCGGGAACATGATAACGAGAAAAACAAGAATAAATTAGTAGAATGAAAAACGTTCGTTGATACCTACTGGATTAAGAGTGCCGATTTGAAAGATAAACTTTTGTTCAAGAATTTTGCGGCTTCAGTTCCGAGCTACCTAAATGTAAGGAAAGGCCGCAGATTACCTTATGCTGCTTATAATGATTAGGTATGTATATACCTAATCATTGATATATGAACTTCATATATTTCATTGTATCTGATGATTAGGTATATTAAAGTGTCTAGCGACTGGTTTTGATGCGTCCTTGTCAGTCCTCTCTACGTCGCGAAGATGTTCTCGGAATCGGTCACCTAGTCGTGCACCTGTTTCGCCATTGTATATCTTTATGCAATAGGTGCAAGTTATACAGTAGGTTGCGAAAAGATAGTGCTAGTCTCTGGATCGTTTTGAAATTATTTAAAGTTTTTAAGAATAATGGGTTTAACGGCGTTGTTGTGAAGGTGGAATATTGAGGGTGAATGGAATGCGGTCGGAATTTTGCGTCTGTGACGTTTATAGTGGTAGCCCGCTTGAACGACAGAAACAGGATGGCCACGTTTTCTGAAAAACTGGCATATTGCCACTGATTTGTTGAAAAAAATCACTCATCACTACATAAACGACGAAGTCTAAGAAACCAAGAAAAGGAAAATGTTTCGTTTCTATTTTAATTTTTTTTTTTTTACCCTTGTCAGTGAGCGAAGTTCTTTCTTACTCCGTTAAATTAAAAATGATCCTTGAAGTATGTTATGGTTTGTGTTTTTTTTATTTCCAATCTATTTTTACCACGATTAAAGAAATCATCACGCAGATAACATAGTAGTATGAGTTATGAGAAGACACACAGGGCTTGCATTGCAAGTATCTCGGATAGCTCCACACAGTTCCGTATCATAACAAAATTATAAGGAATTGTATGAAGCTCTCCGGGATACTTAGAGTACAACTAATTGATGTACCTTAAAAAAAAACGCTGTTTTTTTTGTTTTTTAAAACCAAGAAGCTCAGTTGGCACGTAGTACTTGTCATACAGTAACAAGGGAGTTTATCGGCAAAGGATAAGGAGCTTATTTTAAGATGGCTGTTTCATCGCTGCCCCATTTTGCCATGATGACCCTTAACATCCTCCTGGGAATCCTGTTTGTCCTGGCAAACAGAAACTTCTGTGGAACTATTTTTGAGACGCAACTTGGTCGGTAATCACTTAAAACTGGGAAAGGCAACACCTGATTATATCTTTAAGCTCTTTAAACCTTTTAGTCATATTTACACCTGGACAAACATTAGACTAAATGGGATTATTTTTTTTCTCTTTTGCCTTTCAGACCATGCCTTGGTGGGTTACGTTATGCACAATTCTGTTGTTGTGTCCGAGTTTGAATGTCAGCTAAAATGTATAGGAAATAATAATTGTAAGTCGTTTAATGTTCATCCCAGTGATGGCAATGCAAGCCGAATTTGTGAGTTGAACAACAAAACGCGGCAGATGAAGCCAAGTGATTTTAAACAGAAGAAAGGATCTACTTACTATGGTTCTGTTCAGGTCTGAATCTATTTTCTATTTTCTTCAGTTATAGTTAAATCAAAACCACTTTTACTTGTAACCTTTCCTTATCGGATATCGCATTAACTGATTTATTAAAATAATGAGGATTTTCACTGAGTATACCAAAACTAAGACTTATTTGTCAACTGATGTAAATTAGTTCTCGTAAGTATCGGGAAGCTAGTCAAGAACCTTCTTCCCTAGCGAGTGCAAATTACATAACCCCCTCAAATTTCGTACAGTCTGAGTTGTAGAGAGTTTTAAATTCTGCTTAGAAGAAAGCCACACTTAAGATTTTACATCAAACGTATCATAAGTCAGATTACACCCAAAGGGAGGAACGTTTCTAGAAAGAATCTGAAACAAAGGCAATTTACTTTTGAGTTATTTATTTTAGGCCTCCTGCGTGGATGTTTCCCATGAACGAAATAGACCGACAAGGTGTCATGCGGGATACAAAGGAACACAATGTCAAAAACGTAAGTTGCACAAAGGATTTAGCAAAACTTTGTCCAAGTATTTCCCTGGTTCGTAGTTTTTAACGCAGCATTGCATTCTTTAAAAGCCAAGTCGTCCACTAATTGAACGTCCTTCTAAACCCAAAGATAGATATGGGCTCCAAGGATTTCATGCGCTCGGTCTGTGTCATTACCTCGAGCCAAACATTTTCCTGTTTCAAAGGGCTTGATTAAAATTCAGAGTGAAATAAAATGACATAAAGGATGTAAAAGTCATTAACTGAAGTCACTTCAAGCTGAGACTGCGAAGGAAACTAGTATTCTTGAGCTGAAAGTAAACGTAATGCCTTTCTGACTTGACATATTCTTCTCTTAAAGTGACAACTTTGTTTCTTTTGCTTTTCTTGTGGCAGTTGTCCTAAATGTTTTCATCCGCAGTGAAGCGTGCGAGGATCCAGGAAAGGCAACAAACTCATGCGGCTTTGCTTACATAAAAGTGAATGGAAAGGATTACTCTCCTCATCTCAGAGGGCATAATGTGGTTGTCATCAGCGCTGTTACAGGTATGTAAGTCCTGGCTCCATAGTTCACCACAGTTTGCTCAGAGGAAAGTTACCACAAGACTCACCATGACTGAACTGAGATTTGAGTGATTAGGCGGGATAATGAACTTTTTGATGAACTGGTTCGGGACCATTCGGGAAAGTGCCCGGTCCAATACTGAGAGAATATTGACCAGCAATAGAGCATTTTGATTGGTTGATTTTAGTTATTGGCCCTCCGACTGCCCGATTCATGTAATAAAACACCTATAAGCTGTCGTACTTGACTAAGCTATTTCACCTCACTTCTGAGGTGCGCAGGAAACTATTGCACAACCTCAGACACTAATTGTCACTTGTTGGGAAGATACTTTGCTTATTGCATGGTAACAGCACACATGTGTATGGGTTCAAGACTTGTAGGCGCATTAATTAGCTACTGTTTATTGGCCAGACATTAAAAGATTTCAGCCTCTTTCTATAAGAGAGTATGAGCGGATACCGGCGAACTCTCAGGGGAACAGGGTTACACTGTGCAATGCTGGGGGCTAATTGCCTTACATCAGGGAAGAGTAGCATCATGGGGCAAGCTCGTGTGCAGCAGACTTGACCCATGCCCAAGCCATTTTTAACACGCACCAACCCATTCCTCTCTGTATGTTTTACCAAGAGAACCTAAGGGTAAGAGAACATAACCTCGTCTGATATGATAAGGAGCCATCAGCCATTGGTCAGTTAAAAAAGTTTCCGGATCTAAAATTAGATTCTGTCCCGTTGTCATAGTAACAGATCCCATGGAAGATGCGTTCTCTTACCCTTATGTTCTCTTGGTTTTACCAAATATTAAGTTTAATGGAATCTCTGCCGAATTACTAAAAGGCAAAACTATCGAAATATCACAACAAATGCATCTGACCGCCGCTGCGTTTCACGAGAAATCGAAAAATGTTTATCACGACACTGTAAAAGACCGCCGATATGTTATGTCCACTGTGAACGTGATTGCGAGTGAAAGGAATCAAACTTTTGATACCTATTCTGTTTCATAGGTTCCGTGCTTGCCTCAAAAGCATTTGACACTTTTGGGAATAGTACTGCTGGTAATCGCTTGAGAGACCATCTTAACAGCATAAAAGGAGAGTACGTGGCATGTTGTTCTATATGAAGTACTGTTAAAATGGCCAAATTACAGACATCATCTCTATCAAACAATTAATTCCAAACTGTCTCTCTGGCCTTGTTATGCATGTTTTCGTGAGGATCATCACCTAATCATGAAATCTGTTGCATCCCGAAAGAACGGTATTCTGAAAACACAGCTCTACAGCTTAAAGGAAGCTTTCGAGCACCAATCCTTTTAACATTGTTATTTCCAGGATTCATGTAGATTACAACAGCGCCGATACTTTTTTCCAGATCTCCTGTTTGTGTTGATAAATAATTTCCATAGCGCCAATACTTTTTTTCAGATCTCCTGTTTATGTTGATAAATAATTTCCATAGTTAACGTTTACACAGTAATTTAATCTTTGTTTTTCATCGTAGTAAAATCGTTTTGATCGCGATCCAAGATGAAGGCTCAGTGTATACATCACCAGCGATTGATGCTCTGAAGAGAGTTGGCGCTACTGATGACCTTCTCAACGTGACAGAATACTTAGGATCTTTTGCCCTGGTAGGATACGCAGGCGTGGACAAACCAGCTTGGATTGCACAACAAAATGCCGAGAGAGGAAAGGGACCCAGTGAGATATCTTTGATGATCCCATCATCGGCAGGTACATCTTCCTTCTTTTAATATCCCAGAGCGGTAGCATGCAGTGATCGTTCGCGCTAAGCTCTTCCAGAAGAAAGACCACCGTCAGCGAGGCATTTTTTTTTCAGTCTGGGTGGGCGCTTTCAATACTTAATGTCTATTATTCAATCCCCATATTCAGGCAAACGTAGAGCTGCTAGAGAAACTACCTCTGGAAACTCCTATTTTTTAAAAACGTGGGCTTGACCGGTTTGTTAGAATAAAAGGAGGATCTGCAAAGCAAGTTCCTAAAGCATAATGGCGAACGAAGAGACAGAGTCGCTCTAAATTTTGACGACGCAAAAATTGGAAAGGAGGGTCTTGACAAGATCAACTTACCATATGTGCACAATCTGTAAGCACAAATCGTTCAGGGATATTCTTAGCTCACAGATACGTGTATGATCATGACAAAACCAATTTTAAAGAATTCTCGCTGGCTCTTGAACTAAAAGTTTTGAACCTTTTTTAAAGTACTGTGCTTCAGTAAATTTCGCAACTTAACGCCTTGAAGCCAAGATAAAGTAGCCTTATGATAACAATACATTTCCACCTGCAGCTACCAAAGGTTTATATTACAATAAGCCTGGAAACTCCTGCAAGGACATCCGGAACTCTGGTTTCTTTAAAAAAGACGGGGAGTACTGGATCGACCCTGAGAAGAACGGAAAGCCTTTGAAGGTCTACTGTGACATGACAACTGACGGAGGCAAGACACAAATGTTTCAACAATAAAGCAAGGCATTATGTAAAGTTGTTTGGCCGCAATTCTGTACATGCAGCATAATGAAACAGCCATTACATTACATTAGCCAATTTACTAACAACTTAATGTTGTATAAATTTTTTACCAGGAGGTTGGCTTCTTGTCTCTAATCTTGTGGTGGATGACCCGTCCTTGCGAGAACTTTCGATTGAGTCTTCATACCGTAAAATTAACAACTGTCACAAGGAAAAAGTATTCATCTCAGAAAATGCCATGAAAGAACTCAGATCACACCTGTCTTTCACTCAACTGAGATTCCACTGTAGTAAACAAAGAGGACGCACGTTCCACGTGACCACGGTTGCTAATAGTTCTGGTGAAGCTGTAGTCCAGTACTTCAGCGGTCAGACAGATACCCGGCCATTGGCCTGTGGCTCTTTTACCAGAATGGATGATGACGATTCCAAAACAGCTGGAATTTGTAACCTTTGGGCAGAACAGCGATGGGGTATAGCAGAGCCAGTAAACAAGAGGTTAAATGATCATGTTAACTTTGTCAGCGGGACACATCATTGGGTGCTGAGGGATGGGAGCCACAGATGGGAATGCGATGACACCAACTATCCTGGGGTTGAATATTTTGATTTGTCCCCTGGAGATTTCTGGAAAGTTTTCGTTCGTTGAAGCCTCTAAACAAATATTACCGGCTACCCACGATTATCTACAGCTGCTTAAATTTTCCTAACAAACGTTTAACTATTCACTTGACTCTGATGATGACTTCCGCCTAGGTTGTTGAAACGTCTGTCACCACTACAGCATTCCTTCTCAGGACTACACCCACCCGGACGATCAGACTTCACTATCGGTTCATCTTCAGTGTAAAAACCTGTGAAGCTCACGAGTGACGTAAAACAAAGACAACAAAACATTATAAACAATAGCGTACAGCAAAACAATACCTCATGAAACAAAGAAAACCTCGTCAGGATTTTACACCGTGGATGACCCTCACTATCACATGTTACCCCCGGGTTCAAACCATTTTATTGTGAAACTTTTAACTACCAACCAGGAATCAAATCACCTTTGACGTAAAAACAAAACAAAATTCTGTAACTTTTCATCTTCGACGTGGTTGGTAACAAGACCACTGAGAGGTTATGTTGAGACGTAGAAATAGGGTTCATCTGAAATAACAGAAGCAACGACAAACAACTTTGTACTCCTTTCAAGCTCAAGAACTTTATGATGCTGCCCTCGCCTTCTTCAAATACATCATGGACGAGCCGTTTTAGGCTATAAGTTTGAAACAATTTTTTACCATTTCTTCCGGCAGCATATTCAACATTCGTGTGACACGAAGTTCAGGGCATGGCTGCGTGTTGAAATCCACTAGGGACTTTAAGCAAACCACGACGGCGGCGGCAACGAGAACGTGGAAAAACAATAGATCTAATTGGCAGAACAATAGCCCAGCACGTACGTTTTAAAACTTTGTACATTTCTTAGCCGTCCTTTGCAAAACAACAACGTGAAGTCACCAAAATTTGCGTCGTCTGCGAAGCGAATCTCCGCGGCGGCAAATTATTTTAATTTACATTTGGAACTCAACGCCACTTTTATGCGTAATGTTGAGTTTAAGGTCTGGCGCCCCATGAGACGGTAAACACATGCAGCATTTTGGAAATTCTAATTAAGAGTAGAAACTCATTTTTTAATCGACGTCTTCCGTGGAGTTGCCGTCGTCACTGCTTAAAGTCCCTAGTAACACCGACTACACACAGGCATTAATGAACATCTTTTCCAGGTGTCATAGCTAACTGGTATGGCTGTGGCGTTTTCGAGTCATGTTAACCTTTAGTGATAAATGTGGGGCTGTCGACATCCAACACACTGTAAAAAGAGACGCTTCCTCCATCCACCAGAGCAATTTTGAGTGGAACGCAAGCGCATTCCTTTCTCATGGCGCTCATAACCGCCAGTGAAGGGGGAGAATCAGAAAACCTGAAAGAACAGGATAAACCAGTTTCATAATAAGTTCCAACTTAACCGTGGCCTGATTGGCTCAATTTACAGTCGGGTAGGTTACCGTGCGTGTAGCCGAGGGTTTGCGACTCAAACCAAAAAAAACAGTACAATTTTTCGCCAAATAATCGAACCACCTCAAAGGAGGATTTTAAACCAGAGAACACCGTTAGGTAGGCACGAAGGCTCCGTTACTTTAGTCTGGTTTTTGCAAACTCATGGTTGCGAAGGAAAAGATAGCAAAAATTACATATAACAGACACAAAAGTTCCGATGTTGATTGACGAATTCAATCTGCACCCCACTTCACGTCCCTTTTTCCTAATATTTTTAGACTGAGTGTGGATTTACGGAGTTATATTCTTTAACAATCGTCCTTCCGCGGTGCTGGGAAGAAACAGTAAAGATGGGGAACTGAAAGAGTTGAAAAGGGACACCATATTGGTCCTATCACTCCATGAGAAATGACATTTTTAAGAGTCCTAGGAATTGTAACCTTTTCTTAGGAATGCGATTTTTGGGAAAACTGAATCTGAGATTTGGAACCCCTGGAGGGAGTCTATTTTTAGAAACCTTTTGAAAAGTAGTACACAACCAGGTTACCTGCATACAGTAACACAGAAGGCTGGAGTTCCTGGATCTGATTTCTTGAAATTCAGCCCAGGCTGATAAACATCAAATGCTACTTGAAGAGATTGCTGTTTTGCACTGTGGACCAAATAGCAATTCATTGACAACCCATTAGCATACTACATAGCAGGGATCAAAGTGATACTCAAATGTAAATGGAAATAATGACAATGGTTGAGTTCATTCTGTTCTTGGGATCAAGTCCACAATTAAATTAGGAACATTTTCCAACAAAGACGCCAGGTGAGATTTGACTTCTTTTCCAATGAGAAGCAAATTAGAGTAAATCCCTACACAAGTCTGTATGCAGTAGTTTTGAACATGCTTGATGAGACACAATAAACACATCAAAACTGCATCAGTGTCTACTGCTACTATTCTCATTACATTGGAAACACTCCCCACCCCCCCCCACAAAATATAAATTTGATCACCCCATTTCAAATGTCATCCCTTTTGCTGTTTGGTACTTTGATACCACAGTCAACTTTCACAGCATTCCTCCCCCCCCCTTAAATTTTGCCTGAATCCTCACCCACATACTTATGGCCTTACAGTTGCAGAATTTCCTGTGACTGAATATATTATCCAATGTGGTAATGAGTGCCTTGAAGGCTAGCTCCATAATATGTTTTAAGATAGATGTACCTTAAATCATTGGCTTCAGTCATTCTTTGGTTTTTGATTACTTGTAGCTTGGACAAAACTGCAGCTAAAAAGCCACCAAAAGTAAATGTAGAATAAAAAAGCTGACAACTCTATGAGGTTGTTAAGGGAAGTAAAAATGGGGTGATGCTTAAAGGGCTTGCTTTCAGCGGGGATTGGAGTCCTTCCCAACAGGAGCCTCCTTATGGATGTCCACAGCTAGTCCTGATTAATCTGATTCTACTATTATTTTTTCTTTTTTTTTTTGGTTGTTGATTATTTAGTTCCATAAAAAAAACTATAATTCAAAGTTATCATTTATCAGCAATATGTCTTGAGACATTTTTGAGTCTGCTATTAACAATACATATACATGTGACATACCTGTTGAGGTGGCATCCTCTGGCCTCAGAAGGGGTCTGCAGTCATCTTCACTGGTCCAAAGGTGGGTAACAGGAGACATCACCAGTGGTTTGCCACCTTTACCATTATCAGCGCCAATACTCCTTTCACATTCAAAAGATGTCGCAGTTTCTTGCTGCTTTTCGTTCCTCTCTGGGTTGGCCATGTCAGTTTGTGTGTCTGATTCATGGTTTCTTCTAAACAACAAACACATTTACAGTTACCCCAATACCATATGCATGGTAAATTTAATACAACAAATTACTTCTTTTCATAGAAATTTGAGATCTTCAAATATTTAACAATAACTAGTGACATGTGCCTTAGGTTCTTGCCTCTGAAAAACATGCAGAGTATAAGAACTTAACTGTACCTTGATTGATGTTTTAAAACTATGAATCCCAAGCGCAGAAAATAAGCATAAACCTGGAATAACACAACACAACACAACAAAGATTTCAAACAAAAGAAGAAAAATTAATTGTTAAAATAAATACCAAATGCATGGAATATGTTCTTAATTTTGTCACTTCATAACTCTAGCACCAAACATCTCTTTGGCATGGGTACATAATTCCACTAATTTCATAAACCTGATGAATATTACCGGTATACATCCAGCATTCATCAATAAAAACACTTAAACCCCCTCCCTGTTTGCTCAATGGATAGAGCGCTGGACTGTTGTGCGGGAGGTCGAGGGTTCGAGCCCCAGCCGGACCAACACTCAGGGTCTTAAAATAATTGAGAAGTTAGAATTTGCTACCTTTCTATAACATCAAGAAATGGTTAGATATTCTAGTCTTCTCGGATAGGGATGAATAAATGGAGGTCCCGTCTCCTGCAGGGTTGGGGTAGGAGACATTAATTTCCCACACACGAGATTACTGTGTGATGGATGTCCTCCCCTGGAGTGGGATGGGTGGGAGGGTGGACTAGCACGAATGGTTCCTATGTTCCTTTCTAGTCCTTCCCCACTGCAAAACTTGATGCAGTGAAAATGGACTAAATTAAATTAAAAACTAAATTAAATTAAACATATAGAAAAGCCAGAGACTACAGTGTATGAAACTTGAGGTCCAATACAGGAACAGTTAAGACATTACGTCAATCATGGCACATCTTTTTTCACATAAAAAACATAATTTCATTATTAGTATTAAAAAATATTAATAATATTATAGTTCCACTGACCAGGTAGTTATCAGGAGAGAAACCAACAGATAGCATAGTCATATAGGCCTACAGTGTATTGGATTAAAAAAGGAAAATAAACTTTATGTTCATATTAACAAAGATTTAGTAATACATAGACAGGTGATAATAAAACCTGGGTGCAGGAATGAAGATGATCAATAAGAAACACTTTGATAGCATTTCTGGATTATAAGGCCTGATTGGACAGCATTTCCAACTTACATAGTAAAAGTTTTACAATTGTACATGCAGTTTACTCTGGGACATGTTAAGTAATGTACACACATGCCAATACACACATATGCATATACTGTAGAATTTTGTAAATGTTATTTTTTTCAAAAAAAAAAAAGGAAGAAGATTGTATTCTACCTGTTGAAAAGACATTGGA